AAAATGGTTTTCCTTGCCCCTTGTTTGGCTCTGCCATCAAATAATCAGGTGGGAGCCTGCAGGTGCTAGTGGGGTGAAAAAATGGTATCAGTAAATTAGGTAGGAAGCAGGTCACAGGGACAAATTTTCTACTGCTTTATGCCTTCTGCAGTTATTTCTGTCAGTGTGGAAGGCTGCTATTCAAGGTCTCAGTTTATCACTCTTCAGCAGCTTGCACGGGGTATGAGGCATTAGCTAATCAGAATGGTATGCTGAAAATCACAGCCCCGAATGGAAAGGTAACTAAGAATCTAAGCCATTCTACCACAGGCACCAATATCTGCAGGGGGGCAGGGCAGCAAGGAATATGCCTCAGTTCTTCCTGGGGAAAGAATTTGCTAATCAAGTGGAAAGGAGCAGCAAACGTGGAAGGAATAGGCTGAGCTGATTAACTCCGGCTAAGAGGCTTCCCTGACTAGTGCTACTGAGTGTTTTTCTGACCCTGCCTGTCACCTCCTTGCTTCAGAAGGCCATGCAGACATCCTATCACTTTTCTTCCATAGTGCTGCCTGTTCTCTGCCCTGCTCACAGGCCACTACAACTGCTTCCTCTTCAACTCCTACCTCTGCTGCACTCACCTTTTCTTCCTGCCTTACTGACATGACCCTCTCTGAGGTACACAGCTCTCTTCTGCTGTCACTTCTTCAGTCTTCCTGTATTCCAACAGAACTAAACCCTGCAACATCAGACACACTGCGAAGCAATAGTGTTACTGCTGTAGGCTCCCAGCCTCACAGAAATGCTGAAAATGCACACAAGATACATGGACACAACAGTTAACAGGCAAGCACATGGGTGGATCATGAGGAAGTAGCAACCACAGTAGACAGGCTAGTGTCAGGACTTCCACTTAACCTCCTTTCACTTCACCTAAGGGTGCTTTTGCACATACACACAGTGAATGTTTCTGGAGGTGGAGAGAGGCAGAGCAGCAGCTTAACTTCCCCATTTTCCCTTGAGAGATGTGCCTTCTCCAAAGCAGGACAGCATAACACGTGAGGCTCCTGTCCTGCCAGCACTCTGCCCACACCCACGCCTGTTGGAGCACTGTCAGTCTTCCTGCCCAGCGATGCTTAAACTGAAATGCAAACCAGCAAGCAGACACTGCCACAGGCAAACAGCAACCTGATTTGGGACTTAACAGACTCACCTGAACAGGACTGACTGACCTACTGCTAGCAGCTTACTGGTACTCACCTGAGTACAGAGCATCCTCCATGGAGGATAAAAACCTGCTAGAGATGGAACAAACTGGATGACATGTGGATTTACCGCTTTGGCTAGCTCTGCGCGGGTCCCTGCCTCCTGCACCTACCCACCCACACGCTGCCCTCCAGCAGCCCGAGAGGTGAAGGCCGCCCCGCGCACGCTGTGGGGAGGTGGCCCCGTCCGGGCCGGGCCTCGCCGTCCCCTCACCTGTGGGCCTGGCAGCAGAAGAGACAGAGGTCGGCCCCGCAGGTCAGGCACCGCCTCACGGCCGCCCCG